AGATTGCGGCTACCCCCTATATTTTGAAGGTTAAGAATCCAAATATGTAAGAAAAAATATATGTTTATTCAGAGAAAGTACGTTTTTGTGTCTGATTTCGTAACTTAATTAATAGTTAGCACTAATTAATTAGCATATTTGAGGTCACCCCCAGGAACCATTAAGATTAACACTTAGTTCGTGAAAATCCGATCATTAGAACGAAAGTTATTCAGGGTGATATCTTTTTTTTTTTGCCGACTGTACATTGTTAGAATTGTCCTTCTAAAATTACGGTAAAATAACCAGCAACAGTATGTTCTAACGTAGTTAACCGTAAAATTTGTGGTTAAGATAATTTCTTTACCTTTACAGGCTTAAAAGCTTTTACAACTGGTATGGTTAAGAAACTGTCATTACAGAACTGTACGGTTTTGTCACAACTTACAACAAGTATGGTTTAATTTTTTTTTTTTTTTGAATGCAGTTTTACTGGACGTTGGAGTTAGATTATGATAGGCTTTTCGTTAGGTAATGAACATTGCGGTTAGATTTTGTTGTATTTTGTCAAGTGAGCAGTGGAATGTGGCTTGAGAGATGGTAAATACTAGACTTTTTGGTGCTTTATGGAGCTGCCATCTAAGCGTAAATGATAGTTTTCAATTCCGATAGTTGAGAGTCAGAAATTGAGATGTGCAGAAGACTTGAAGCTCATCGTGTGTTGTAAGAGAAAATATTGTGGTGTCAACGCTCGCGTTCGAACCCAAGTTTAGTTGATCATGAAATTGACAGATAAGGCTTATCGGCTAAGGTATGCACGAAACTGTAAAGAAATAAGTGGCTTCCTAGGGTGCTTAACACGCACTATTATTATAAGATTAGGCATCCGATGATCTTGCTAGAAAATATAAATCCACAAGCCTTGGCTCAGCTTTCAAAGAGCATGTGCTCGATTTTCACCGACTGTTAGATCACACCGTCGCGGTAAAGTTTTGGTTGTTTAAACGTTGTAAAAACAGTCAATAAACGATTTTCTTATAGTTAACAGTTATAATACCATCTTTTTAACGGTTATTTGACCATTTTGAATGAATGATAAAATAACAATTAAATAAATTGTTATATAATTGTTTTTTTCCGACAAATTTCTAACAGTTATGAGAGAAATAATAAAAATAAAAATTACAATTATATTTAAAAATTTTATTTAAAAATCATTTTTCTTTTTATTTTACTAGTTTTAAAGAAATATTTAAATGGTCTAAATACATTAAAAAAGAAGAACTAAAGGAATCGCTGCATGGTATTATGGTTTGATTGAATAAAGCTATTATTCTTGGAGGGTTGAAATGGTTTTTGAAATCGAATAGCGGCAGGGGTTCTCGAAAAATAAAACACTGGTAAACAAAACTCTAAACAAATACATTCGGGTTCATGGAATCTTTCTTAGAAAGAATTTTTCTTATTTTATAGGTGGCGGCTTCGGAAGTTTTTCCTTCATTTAGATAAAGTTTGAGAATTTGAATGCGTTAGATTGGTTTGAAAGTAAATGCACTGTGTGTTCCGACTGGTACGTAATGTAGAAATATTCAAATACTTATCAGTTCAACATTTATTTAATTAATTCTTTTCAGTTATTTTCATCTGCAATTATATTATATTAAACTATAACGAAGACGAGATAGACTTTTGCAACTTTTTAAATATTCAAAACTTAAAAAAAAAACTGTTCTTTATTTATTTTTGAGTACATAATTTTTTCTTATTGCGTTGGTTATACATATTTTAAAATTTTATTGAAAATAATCATTTAAAAAAATATTAATGAAACACTGGTTGCTTTAGAAAATGTTTTTTTCTGCAATCAATAATCTTTAATTTACTTTTTAATTGTAATTATATTTTTTTGCAAGATGTATTTTGTATTACAAATATAAAGAGCTTAGTGAAATGTACTTAAAATAATTGCAATATTTTTTCTAAATATTTTAAATTTATGCTTGCATTATGACAAAATATGTAAGAACGTTTTTAAGTTGTTTAAAAAACTTTTAGTATTCATTTTTTATTAATAAATATTCATTTTACGTAATAATGTATATGAGTATAGATGGTCAATTATAAATACAAATGTTTCAAACCTTTCCTCCTTCATTCATATATTTGGGATTTTTTAAGATTACAAAGTCTAAGTTAAGCTACAAAAGTCTAAGTTAGAAATAAGAATTTTTTTTAAAAGGTTTTTCTTGAAAATTAGATGTCGTATTGTACTAATAAAACTTGATTTCAATGTAACTTCTGTAATTTACAAATAAAACATTTCTTACCAATTTATCAATCATTATCTCCTTTGATAAGTTATCTTAATTTTTATAATTTTTTTTCTTCTTCTTACTGATTTGGATTTTTGTTTCTCAAACATGGATAACTGCAATCTGAAAAATATGGTCTCAATAGTTGATTCAGGCGAATGGATTTAACTTTTAATTTAAAACTATTTAAGCGTATCAAAAAATGTTTTCCAGCACTTTGAAACTTATTTAGACAAAGATATTATCAGACAAAACAAATTTTTTATGGTCATTTATTTATTTTTAACTTAATAATGGTCGAGAAAAGATTGACTTAATAATGGTTAAAATGTATACAAACTTTTACATAATTTTTAACTATGTGTTATAAAGAACAAAATATAAAATTTGAGCAAATTCGATTGAAATATTGATTTCTTGGAAGAAGAAAATGGATCAAATAGTTTTCCTATAAAGCTATTCTCGAATTTCGCATAAATTTTATATATTTTTTATTATTTTTATTTATTTTTTTATATATTTTAAAATGTTGTAAAAATTTTGTTAAAGTAGTTTAAAAAGTTTTAGATTATTATTAAATATAACAATCAAAAATAATAAATAATTATTAAAATATTTTTATGGACATATCTTTGGATAAATGAACTTTATAATTATGTGCAAAACTTTTTCGAGAAACTGAAATAAGAAAGAAGTGAAATTTACATTAAGTGATCCAAAGTACCCACTGCTTACCTGCTTAAACTATTGAGATCATATTTTCCAGATTGCTGTTATTTCTTTCTTATTATAAAGATCAAAAATTCGAATCAATTAAAACAATGCATGTTTATACGGAGAAAATATGTTTATGTTTTGATTTTGTAACCTACAATTTGTCTACATTAATTAGCATATTTAAGGTTAGGCCATCGAACTATATAGATAGTATTATTTAACCGAAAGTCTGAACATTACGCCAAAAATTATTATGCTATGCCCTTTTTGCGCAGCATACTTCGCTTAAAAGAGAACAGAAACATCTATCTTGTTTTCTTTAATTTCTTCACGAGCAATTTTCTCGATAAATCTAATTAATGCATATGGTTGTGATTCTATCTTTATAATGTTTTTTGAAATTTTTTTACCACCGATCTGAGAAAAAAAAATTTAAAACAAAAAACCGTGCAAAAAGTACTTTAAAATTAATATTACATAAATTTATCCAGCTATTTAACAAGTTAAAAAAAAAGTAAATTGCCTCTAAATTTCGTTCTCAATTTTTTCAAATTTTGTCTCTTAAATTTGCATTTTTTCCCTTTAAAAACACTAATTTGATCACGTGACATGGACATGACGCATGTTAAGCTCTATCACCTATTACAAAAAGGAAGAAAAAATCACGTTTTGAGTGCCTTTGGCTAAAAGCAAAGCTTTATTTTTTTTAAAAACTACGAACACTATCCTGCTGGCAGAAATTACTTCGATTTAAAAACAAACGAATTGCTTGAACATTTAAAGATTTTCAAATGATTTTAAGAACCACAAAATTAAAGAGAGAAAATTATAATTTTCTTTCAAATTGGCATTTCGTGCCCATTTTCATAAATAGTACAGAGTTCGTTGGTGGAAGATGGATAACACTTAACTCATGAACAGTTATAAAAGCATAATGTGATGAAAAATATTGTTTCGTATGACGAACAGGGCCTTCTTCTTTTAATCATTGTATATTGCATTTTTTTTACGTGACCTCCGTTTATATAAAAATATTTTGCTTCCCTGAAATTCTTGATTCACATTTCCATAGGATTATTAATGGCCAATTCGAAGCTACCTTCCATCATTATCCAAGTTATCACTTTCATCGGGTGGTTTGGTGTTCTCATATCCTCAGGCAGTGGAAGGGGTGAAGTGTGCCATTTAAGACCAGTAATCCATGTACTCCAACAGCCGGGATGCATACCAAAACCTATACCATCATTTGCTTGTCAAGGTAGCTGTTCGTCTTATGTGCAGGTAACATCACTTTAAAAATTTTATCCATTTATGATTGTCTTATTTCTTATTTTTCTTTAAATGATTGAGATCTACAAAAATGAAAGCCAATGCTTGAAAAATTAGTTATTTTTTTAATCATGTAATTTGTATCTCTTTCCATATTAACTTTAATCAACTAACTAAGCTAGGACCTGAAATTTCAGTTCCATAGATTTTAGTCAGACTAAACTTTTTTCTCGGTGTTGCATTCTCGAAAAACGAGAACAATTTTTAAAATGCTAACAGGTGCAGTACAAAGAACGTTTTGGTGCCCGAAATCATAAAAGAAACTGAAAAATGGAAACATATTTATTGCAAAGTAATAATGATAAGTTAAAACAAGATTCCTGAAAACTCTCAATGGTTTCAATATTGTAATGTTGTTACGCTACACTTTACTTTAACATCATTCGAATGATTTCTCAAGTTTAAACTCTATTGCTTATCCAACTTTAGTGAGATTCCGCATTGGAATTGATTGATTGATTGTTAGATTATGTTTCTCTATGTAAATTTTAATATTTATTTCGTCATTGTTATTGAAATAGACTTATACATAGGTATATATATAGATGTGTAGCATTTTTCTAAAAGAGAATGATACAGTTAGAAAATAAGTAATCTGTGTGGAATTGTTAAAAAAGCAGATAGATTGTCTTTATAAAATAGTTACTATGCATCTCTTATGCATGGAGAGATGTGAGATGTAATGTAAGTGCTGTGCTAACGGTGAGTTGAGATCTTGGTCAAATGGTTGTGGAAAACTCTCTCTCTGAGGGGGTCCTCATAGGAATTAAACAAAACTTGACACAATAGCTGAATCATATTTATTTTATTTTGTAAGTACTCATCTTTCGGGTGAACATGCTGGAAGAAATCGACTCATCCATATTTGCCTGATGTTATTGTCCCCGTATTTTACAGTATTTTTTAGAATATGTCTAATCAACGGTGTATTTTAGTAGTTGCTACAGGAAAAAAGCTGGTATATCTTCCTTCAAGATTTCTCTTATGTGTTGTGATTTTTCTTTCCTGTGCCCGTGCATCCTCCAAAACCAGCACACCATCAAAGGGTAAATATACTTAAAATGATCTTAAAAGTTGCTCTACAATTACTGGATATGAGGTATTAAATCAAATTTACGTATTATTTAAACATCAGCAATTTACCCTTGGTGTGCCAGCGGACATTAGCTAACATTCAGCTTCTTGTTTCTGAAATATATAGGTGTAAAATGTAAGAAGTGTAAAATATGTATTGAAACGAAATTAAGCTTAAAGAGCATAGATGAAAGCCATGGATTGGATAAAAATTGCCGTCGTGACACATTTTAGTTCATTTAAACTTTTAAAATTTTATTGAACAAAATAGAATGAATTTTTTAACGAACTAATGTATTAATGAATTTTTTAAATTTTAATGGACTCTTATTGAATCTTTAAAATTTTAATGGACTCTTATTGAACCCTTAAAATCTCAGCGGACTCTTATTGAACCCTTAAAATTTTAATGGACTCTTATTGAACCCTTTAAATTTTAATGGACTCTTATTGAATCTTTAAAATTTTAATGGACTCTTATTGAACCCTTAAAATTTCAATGGACTCTTATTGAACCCTTAAAATTTTAATGGACTCTTATTGAATCTTTAAAATTTTTATGGACTCTTATTGAACCCTTAAAATTTCAATGGACTCTTATTGAATCTTTAAAATTTTAATGGACTCTTATTTAACCCTTAAAATTTTAGTTCATTTAATTAAAAAGTAATTATTTTAATTCTCGCTGATTTGTCAAATATGAAAGATGATAAAAGAAATCGTTATGAAATTATGTTTCTTTCAGGTGTCCGGTTCTAAATTTTGGCAAGTGGAGCGATCGTGCATGTGCTGTCAAGAAATGGGGGAGCGTGAAGCCAGCATAGGAATTTTCTGTCCTAAAACGACACCGAGGTTCAGGAAGATAGTGACACGAGCTCCGGTGGAATGCATGTGCCGTCCATGCACGGCCGTGGACGAGGCTTCGATTCAACCTCAAGAGACGGCCATGTTGAAGGTGAGAGATGACCCTTTGGCAGGATTGGTCAATGACTTACCTGTCTTAGAAGAATATCACCTCATGAACCAGATGGAGATGGGAAAAGATATGCCTGTTATATAAAGATACATAACTAATTTTTTTTCAAAAGTAAAATTCCTTTGGAAATTTGTTTCAAGCACTGTACTATAAAATATTAAGATTTACAGAAAAAAAGAATGTGTATGTATAGAGGGTGTCCTCGAAAGTTCAAAACTTTTCATTGCAAATTCTGCTTCAACTTCATTGGCATTATTAAAATGTAAAGTTTAGAGAGAATTGAGTTCAGGTAAAACTAGAATAAACCTGATTTCTTTTTATTAATAAAAAAAGGCAAAAGGACATTTTGAGTTTTGAAAGGGCACTCATTTAACACGGCAAAAATTTATCAAAATGTATAATGTCATGTAATAACTGAATTTGATCCTGGACAAATTTTAAATTACCCTCTTATACTACTTCATGAGCGTGCATATTTTAAAAAATAATTGCCTCTCATTATCAGAATAAGAAAAAAATGTATAGTTTATAAAAATTATAAAAGGCATGTGGATAAACAGTCTCTAGGCATAATTTTTTTCAAAAAAAATAAATAAATAAATAACTAAAAATATTATTAATTGATAACATAAAATCATTTATAAAATTCAAACCAAAAACTATAAGAAAGTGAAAATTTTGAGTTGCTTTATTTTTTTAAAGAAAAAGACATTTATTTAAAAAATAATTTTAAAAATCAAAATCATTGAGAAATTTTTTAATACCGTGAAAAAAGAGAAATTTATTAAAATTTATCCAGTTTAGAATAATCTTAACGAAGTAAATATTTATAATAGTAATCAGAATTAAACCTCCAAACACAGATAATTTGACCAATGTATAATTATTATTTAAACAGTGAATTAATTTTTTTAAAAAGGAACATGAATAAAAAGGCAGTGTCTTAATGGATGGCTTCTTATTTTTACAAAAAGGACAAGGATTACATAATTATAAGGATCAAAGGGCAGGCAAGACATACCGCCATTTTAAAAACGCTTAGGGATAACACTGAGTAAACATTGAAATTTCTAGTGTTAAAATTTTTTTTTCAAAATATCAAAATGAAATTATTAGAAAACTTCCTCATTGCGTAATCCTAAGTAATCCTGTCATAATTTGTTTGCATTTTTAATTTTTTTTTCAACAGTCAAAACTTCATGGTGAAGTCTAGGTTTACCCGAACACACTTTTTCTATACTTTAAATTACTTATGGAGTTGAAAGTGTACAGTACTTTCTCCCGTGGTATAGCCAGTTTTTTGGTATAGCATTCTCTTAACTTCGAGTGGTTTCAGCTATAGCTGTAAAAAATCTTGGTGCAGTAGAGTGGCCTTGCGCAACTAGATGAGAATACTTGCAAGGAACCTGGAGGGGAAATTGAATAGCTATGCTCTGTCGCTAATTAAGAAAAAATCATTATTCCTATGAGGAAAGCCTGTTTACATTTAAGTGCACGCCAAATGGATGCCAAGCTTCCAGCGTAAACGTATATCAACATCGCCAACTCTTGAAACGAGGTTTTTGCATGCTTTCTTAAATCGTGTGAAATGAGGAAAACAAAGTTATTGACAATGGACTTTAATTTTGAACTTTTAGAAAATAAGTTATTCTCTAAAACAGAGCAAGTAATATATATAGAGCAAATAATAAAAATAATATCGAAAAATTGTTACAAAATTATGAGCATCGAAAAAGGTTTCTTGTACTAACTTGTTTTTTNTTTTTTTTTTTTTTTTTTTTTTTTTTTTTTTTTTTTTTTTAAGATAGTTCAACACGTGACATTGTTGGAAAAACGTATAAACAAACGCGTAATAAGAAAAAATAATGAATAAAAAGAACGCTTGAGTTTTTTTTTAGAATTAATTCTTTACAGGGCATTAGACAAAATTCGGAAATTTTGTTACTTATGAGTGGCTAGTTGTAGCATTTTTGACAATGATTGCTTTTTAATACATGTGGCGACATTTCCAAAATTTAAAAATTTTGAAATATCGAAAAAAATAAACTTGATATGTTTATAAACGGCATTTTTTAAAGCATTTCTCAAACTATGGTAGACACTACAAGGTTATTTTTAAAATGAAGAAAAACTTCAAGAAACAAACGTGACATAAAATAATAATAATATAAATAATAAGTCTCTGATATTATTAAATATTCATAATAATTCTGTATTTATGAAAAAAGTTAGAATACACATGTGGTGCATTTTTGCCAAAAAAAAAAGTGACAATTGGCAGACAATTTTTTAATCATCATTTGTAGTATTTAGTCGCAGGTGACCATTAATTTTTCCTTATACCATAAGGTGTAGTAAAATGTAATGCAATAATTCAATAGCCACACTTGACTCTTTTTTCGAGGTTACTCTTCTTCTTCTTGGTACTACAGCACAGAGCAAGCCAGGGTTGTCCCAACGAGTTTAAATTTGAATGCCAGTTTTAATTTTTAAACCAATAAGTATTGTAGCTGAAGTTGTTTAAAAGTTTGGAAGGTGGACACGAGCAGTAGCGGGCACCTTGTATATGTATGTGTTCCTTTTTTTTTTTAAGTTTAAAATTTAATGAAGGAATACTTTTATTTTTCAGTGAAGTGTATCAAAAATAATCAAGTTGTTACTTTTAAACATTAATAAAGCTCCATTTTGTTTCAAACTTACTATACATGATATTTTTTTTTTTATTACGCTACGTAGAATAATGAAAAATATAGTCTGCAATTTTGGGACGTAATCTTGCTAAAAATTAAGGAAAATGCACTGGATCATTTTTATATTATTTACTCCCACAGCCTATTTTTTCAAGAAATTTGCAAATTTATTTGTTTTATGCTAAATCACTGAAATGCTTGATAAAAATATTGCAGATATTTATTGTTTGGCCTGTTTTTTATTTGCCTATTTTCTATTTCATTTTATTCTCAAAAAAAAAAAAAAAATAGAAGAAGAAAGATATGAAGAATCAGTACTACAAACGCAGTTATATAAATTTCCTCCAAAAAAATTTTGTCGAACTAGCCGATTATCTCACCAATAAGAATTTTCAAAATATCATCTAGTAATGTCGCTTTTATGCCTTTTTAAAAAAAATATTTTTTGGAAACCTCTTTTTTTATGTTTCTTTGATAGCTTTTTTAGGATATTAATAGTAGATTTATACTTGTTCAAAATATACTGTATTTTGAATTTACAAGATAATATTTTCACGCTATTGAAAATTATTTACTGTTTAGTAAACTATAATTATTTAAAATATTTCTTTTAAATGAAAACAATAAACAAATTTATTTCGAACAGCATAAATATTTTATACAATTAAGGGCGTAAAAATATTATTCTTAGTGCAAGATGTACTTTTGTATGTGTGTTATGATGCTTTCCGAGCATTTTTGCTTTAGTATTTACATTTCTTAATTTTCAAAATAATTTTACATAATGCTCCATGATGATGATTTGAAGTGATTTATTGCTATGTTTAGCTAAATTTCATAAAAAATTGACTCTGATCAAAATAAAAAATTCAAGGATAGCTATTTTATAATAAATATTTAACAGAAAAAAACGCAGCATTTTAGTTCGCATAATTTTTCCTTCAAAAATTTGTAGTGTTTAATATTTTTATTTCATTCATTGAGCGAAAAAATAAATCTAATCCCATTTCTTTATTTTTCAACAAAAAAGAGATGTTTCAATAAATGTGAATAAAACTTCTACATTCTGTTGGAGTAGAAATTCTGTGGTACGTTTTTTTTTTTTACAAGCCGATTTTATTTATGATGATTATCTATTTTTATTGTGCCATACTGCTTATGTTATATATCTTGGAAATAAATGATGACTGCTGTCTTACTAAGAATTTTTTCCTGTTTATGCTGATACAGAATGAAACACTTAAAATCTACTACATTTCAACTTTTCATATTTTCTAAAATATTTGATGGTCTTTCAGAAATGAAGAATTTCACTCGCATTTTATATCAACAACAACATCAACAAATGAGATGTTTTGGGCATTGAGGAGATGCGTCTCCATTGGCAGTAAATTATTTCTTTTAATTTTCATGTTTGTTTATATGTAGCTGAGTTTGTTTATAGTTCTTCGAGAGGAGGAACATTTTTTTAAATGATAAATAAATCTGTACTGATTAATACTACGTACAGTTTTATTTTTCTTACACCTTTAATTGGGGAATTATTATTATTTTTTTAAAATTCTGCACTTTTCGATTAATATGAGTTTTTGTGACTTATTTATTGTAGAGAATAGTAACTAATTTTTGCAAAGGTATTTAGTATTCAAGGCTGCGCACAATTCAGAAAACATTATGTACGTGATTGTTTAGAGTTTCCTAAGTGTCTTTGGTCTTTATAATATACATTTTCTAATTCTAGTTTTTTCATCTCCATGTATTATAGAGAGTAGTTTTTCTGATTCAAACATAATAAAGTTGAAAAATGGATAGCTGGTCTTTCCAATATAAAATTGCTTATTTGCCTCTTAATGGCTGTTTTCAATAAGAAGATAATAAGCAATATTATCATTATTATTATTATTGACCTATAAACATAGGGATAGATCTATTCTGAAAAATATTGCCTTAACCGAATTTATAATACGATATTAACGAATATAATTAACCGAAAATAGTTTTAGTCAAAACAGTGGTCAAAGATTTAAGACCTTTATTGTTGATTTGCATTATTGTTTTGCATGCTTCGTTCTGTCTTTGAAAAAGAAAATGTAAAGCTTTTTGCTTATAATTATGAGATTCGTTTATCTAAATATAATTCCAACCGAAAAATAAGGTAAATTAATAAAAAAAAATTCGAATTGTACAAATTTCAATTGACAAAAATAAATAAATGATTAAAAATTGAATTGTAAAGTAAAAAAATTCTTTCATCATTTCAGACAATGTAAACTGATGTGACCAAACAATGTAAACAATGCATCATTTCTAAGAATATTTAAACAACGTATACCTGACAGATAAAATTTTAAAAAGAAAAAAAAATAGGTCGTATTTTCACTGAATATTTACATTTCAAAAAAGTCTTAATTTCTATTAGAATTTCAAAATTTATATTTCTAAAGAATTATTCGAACGATCTCGTTTAAAGTTTGTATTTTGTTTCTGTATTTTATATTTAAAATTGCACTATCAAAAATTATACGAAAATTTATTTTC